GGGGGCAGGAGTCCATGGAGGGATGGACACTGGGAAGAGGTAACTATGGGGAGGAAGTGGGAGGGGAGCTGTTGCATTGTGATAAACTGTGGTCAGTGCCATGAGACAAAGTATGTGTGAACTGCTGTATGGAAAGTGAATTTGCTCTGTAAATCTTCACCCAAATCACAATTAAAAAAATATATATGATTGTTGAATTAAATGGTTTGTACAGATTCCTTATAGATGTGAAAATGCTGTAGATAATTGTTTTAATCTCTGAGGTCCTATGATTATATGGATGTGTAGTATATTCTTGCATTGTTAAAAATATGTGTACAGAGCCCAAACTTGAAAGAAAGAAAAGCAACAAAAGATCCTGTGCAGCTTTTGAAATCTGTGTAGTATATGTTCCTCTTTCATGCTCTTTATGTGAATGGATGGCTTCACTCTCAATAGGATACAAAGCAGAAACCTGCACTTTTTTTGATCCTTCATTTGGAGCAGAGGGAAGTGTACCTAGATAGAATCTGTACCTAGATATCTCAATGAATTGAAAAAATAATGTTCCTTTAACATGCAATAGCAGTTAAAACCTTGAAAGCAAATAAAGTATGGAAGGTTTTGAAGAAGCATAAGTTGGCTTTCTGTTAATGTGTATATATATAAACAATTCTCAGATTATTTGCTCAGCATATAGATTGAATAATCCGGGAAGCTGGACTGTATGAAGAAAAACGTGGTATCAGGATTGGAGGAAGAATCATTAACAACCTGAGATATGTAGACGATACAACTTTGCTTGCTGAAAGTGAGGATGACTTAAGGCACCTACTGATGAAGGTTGAAGAATACAGTCTGCAGTATGGATTACGTCTCAATATAAAGAAAACAAAAGTCCTCACAACTGGACCAATGAGCAGCATCACAATAAATGGAGAGAAGATTGAGGTTGTCAAGGAATTCACGTTGCTTGGTTCTACAATCGATGCCAACGGAAGCAGCAGTCAGGACATTAGACGACGTGTAGCATTGGGAAAGTCAACTGTGAAGGAACTGTTTCAAGTGCTGAGGAGCAAGGATATCTCCTTGAGGACTAAGGTGCGCCTGACACAAGCCATGATATTTCCAATCGCCTCATATGCATGTGAGAGCTGGACAATGAATAAGGAAGACCGAAGCAGAGTTGATGCTTTTGAGTTGTGGTGCTGGCGAAGAATGCTGAAAGTACCATGGACTGCTAAAAGAACTAACAGATCTCTCCTGCAGGAAGTGCAGCCAGAATGCTCCTTGGAAGCAAGAATGGCCAGACTTGGTCTCACCTATTTTGGTCATGTTGTAAGAAGGGACCATTCCCTGGAGAAGGATGTCATGCTTGGTAGGGTGGAGGGTCGACGAAAGAGGGGGAGGCCTTCAACGAGATGGATTGATACGATGGCTGCAATGATGAGCTCAAGTATAGCAGGGATTGTGGGGCTGGTGCGGGATCAGGTGGTGTTTCGTTCTGCTGTGCATGGGGTCGCTATGAGTCGGAAATGACTCGACGGCACTTAACAACAACAACAACAACAACAATAAACAATTCTGATGCTTTCACCTTTGTGCTCATTTTGAAAACATACCATTCAGTTCTACCAATTCACTTAAACTATTTAAAGAGATTTAGTTTACATACATTTGCAGTAAAATCTCTAATGTGTAACTTAGTGTTTTTTACCTATAGGTATCATCACTTACTGATTTTTGGAATGTGTCCATATCTTGACTAAAGCACATACCAGTGGTCTTCGGCCTATAGTATGTGTTAGGATCATCTGTAGGGGTTTTAAAAAATATGAAAAAAATTCCCCTCGGATGTAGAAAATCAGTCTCAGGGAATGAGGCTCTGCATACAGATGCTGACATGCTCCCCAGGTTATCCTGATAATATGCTAGAGGTTAGAGAAGCATTTTATCTAAATCAAAACACCCTGAAAGTTCTTGACAGGAAAAGAGGTGGTCCATTCATTAATTGGTCTTATACCAACATCACAGCTAGCTGATAATAACTTAGTGATGACAGTGGTATAAAATTTTCTTGTCCTTCCAAAATTTAACATTGTTTAGCATTTATGTTTGGGTGATGGTGACTTCTCTGTGGAAAAAAGTGTCGTGTCTCATTGTCTGGTCATTATTGAGAATTAATAAGAAGCATAAACATTGTGATATAAATCATAGGAACCTAAGAAAGATGTGTTTGATTGTTTATCTCACTCTTGAAAGAATCTGTGATCATGAAAATTAAACATCCTAATTTTCTCTCATTCTTAGAGCACTAATATTCTTATAATCAGTTGTCAGTATTTTGACAATGTAAAATTTAGTTTTATTGAAAAGTGTTTTAAATCTTTAAATTATTATTAATCAAATCCACCAATTATTTGTTTGCTTATGTTATGCTTGCTCCTACATTTTAAAATAGTGTCTAATTCTCCCACCATTTGTCTGTCAGTTTGTTGAACTAGGGTGGCTTGCATGTTGCTGTGATGCTGGAAGCTATGCCACTGGCATTTCAAATACCAGCAGGGTCACCCATGGTTAGTTTCAGTGGAGCTTCCAGACCAAGACAGACTCAGAAGCTGGACAGGGCAATCCATTTCTGAAAAGACTGGCCACTAAAAACATTATGAATAGCAGTGAATCATTGTCTGATATATTATTGAATACTAAAGAGGAGATCTCATGAGAAATGAGAGCTAGGTTATGGCACAATTGGTGGTTTTATGGCTAACTGCATAACTAACCAACAGATGTTGATTACTTGATTCAAGTTATCCTGGAGGAGAGATCATGGCGTGTGTGGACTCAGGACTTCATTCTTAGTCTTGACCTTTTTATCTTTCCATCAGTAAATCAGATGACAATATTGAACTCCTCATTTACTTCAAATTACAATTGGGAATTTTGAAATAGGTTTTTTTTGACTCCTGGATTAGGTCATCATGTTACTTTAACCTGTAATATAAGTTATAGGTTGCCAGGGCTTTTGAAGACTGGTCAGGGAATCAAATGAACCATTTATAACTGTTTTTAATGACAGTAGATTTATATTCCTAATAATTATTTTATAAATGGACTGTGGAACATAATCCATGTTTAAGTAAAGGATGAGCTGAATTTATATTCCCAAAATGGTTTAATTGCCTCCCTGCCTTCCAAGATGAGACTAGAATAATCTCTTACATCCTTAACATAATGTTAGGACATAAGTCTTTCAATATGAATATAGATTGGCTTCTTTTCAGCAGAGATGATGTGTTGACTGATGACAGACCTCAAATAAGACAAGGTGTGGTGGTTGTGTTTTTGTGTCAACTTGGCTGGGCCTGGTTGAGTGGTTGGGCAGCTGGATGTAGTATTCCCCATGATGAGACTGGCAATCAACTCCATGGTGGAATCTACTGTGAGCAGCTGAGTAGCTGCCTTAGGGAATGTGGTCTGCTTCCTGTATATAAG